CCAAAAAAATCAAATCCTTTGATCCATATTTTTCGATAGCAAAAAATCGCCGAGCTCACAAAACAACTTGTAACTTTACGCCTCTCACAACCAAACAAAAGAGGATGTTCCATTGAAACTTGGTACAGATGTTAGGGAAGAGTGTACCAATATAACAAAACAAAAAAATCGATAATCGAAAAATTTGAAATTCGCGAAATTTGAAGAGTCACCTTACTTTTTGAACACACCTCGTATTCTCATATATATCTTTCCTATACCTCGTTATAATATTTTCTAGTAAAGAATTTCAATGGAATCATGTTAGAAAATCCACTGAACTGTGAGTTATTCCGATAACAATAAACAGGTGTTGATGCTGTGAACAATCTGAGATATTATCCGACAAGTGCCATAACAATTGGTGTCACGGACAGGAATTTGAAGCCTTCCGATTTGAACAGAAGAAGAATAAAGGAAGGAAAACAACTTGTACTGCTTTTCCGGGACTAAAACGAGGAAACTATGCTTTTTGCACACATCGAATGTTGTTGCTTTTATTGTCGCTGCCATTTTCATTACATTAACCGTTTGCCAAAGCATTCAACTTGCCAACTCCCGCCCCACTTTTTTTCCGCCACCCACCGCAATGCGCATCGTTTACCGGCTTTTTTTGTGTTGTTTGTTTGTATTATTATGCCAGTTACTGCTGTTATTTTTTTATTTTCCCTTTTTTTTCCGCTGCCTTTGCAACAGTTTTACTGCGCTGTTTGTTGATTTTCCAGTTGGTGATGCTGCCACTGATGCGACAACCCTCTGGGATCCCGCTAATCCACCCGCCTGGCCAGGTGAAAGGGGCAAAAGTTTAACGCTTTTGTCGTTAAAAACATCACAAGTAGGTTCGGGGATGGAAAAGTGGGATCAATATCAGAGACAGCAGCGAGAACAATGCCTGGGCAATAGTGCTGAGTTGGTAAAACTATTTAAAGAGTTTCCTCTGCGATCGTAACTTCCGGCTTAATCCGGCACACAATCCAGAAATCCTCTCAAAGTCAAATCACCCGCATCAATCAATGGGCATATGATAGCCCCCAAAAAATCCAGACATGTCGAACCCCTGCATCTCATCGCTGACCCCGCTCAACTTCGACAGGTCGGAGCGTTTTTATAAAGCCATAAAATATACACAAACTAACTCAAAGGTCGCACTCCACGCACTCGCACACGTTTTATTTTTCGCCACCAGGGGGCTAGATGTTTCAGATGATTGGGGAGCGGGAATGGGTTAAAGTGTGGCGAGAGAGGGATGAACGGTCTGTAGTCTGGGACCTTAGACTGTCAACGGCCTGCTTGGGCAACCCTTTTAAACAGCTACCGGCAGAGAAGTGATTGAGAACTTATAAGATGCAGCATCTTATTTTAGATAACTGATGATAAGATCGAGAAAGGGCACTCAGGTGATCTTTAAAGTCTTTTTTTATCAATTTAAAGACGGCTTAGGCACATTTTTTTCATACTACTAGGCAAGTGTAAAGAAAAGGTGAGGAAATATTAGTATTGATTAAACAAAATTATGAAACAATAATTATCTTATAAGTCAACTTGATCTGTACACTTAATATACACTTTAATAGCTTCGAATCCAAGTCTTTAAAGTTTCCTTCCTTTTTCAAGAACCCACCAAGCAACTCTCGCTTTTCTAGCTTTTTGAGTTGTTGTTCGTGTCTTGTTTTTTCGTTGGTTAAAGGGTCCTGCTTATGTTTGGTTTATGTTTTTTCTGTGGGCCCATTCTCAGTTTCGGACTTGGGCTTGCCCCGAAAGATTTATGTGCGTAAATTTCATGCTGACGGCATCAGGTGATTTAACACTTTAGATAACTTGGAACAGTTTATAGTCGGAGGGAAGGGATGACCCCCTCTCGCTTTTATGGGCTAACAAATGTCGAGGACGCTTGGGTGAGCTCTGAGGATGGGTGAAAAGTTGTATTTTTATTATTTTATTTTATTGCGCTTACATCTTTAAATAAGTTTGCTTTGGCCGCCCTCTTATTGGGTGTGTACGAGTATTGGGGTTGGCTTTTGTTCGGAGATCTGCCCTTCGGAATTGATGCGTCTTTTGGGGTCATAAAAATTACAAAAAATTTCGCTTGCCTTTTTGGGCTGATTGCTGTGTGCGATTGAGCATCGTCCTGGTCCTGGTCCCAGATTCCAGGTCCCCTGGCGTTTCCTTTCGTCCCTTCCTGCTTGTTCTTCTCTCGTCCTTTTGTTTGTTTGTTGTCCAGATAGGATATAAATTATATTGAGCGCTTTGAATTAGTTTTTTATGTGCCACACATGTAGTGAAAATGAAATTAGATACGTGTTGGGTACGAGTTAATTTGAAGGCACAGATTTACCCTCACCCCAAAACAATACACAAAAAGAAGGAAACTTTTTCTTGATTTGTCTTCGATTGATAACTGCAGGGATTGGAAATCGAAGGGGTTCTCATCCGGGAGATATTTAAAGAGTTTACTTTAGTCGCACAATGCTCAACAATTGCGAACTCCATTGGGAAAAGTTCGCCCTGCAATCGCTGCAGCACTACCAACAATGGCAAGCAATTACCAAAATACAAAAAATACTACAAAAATTCAAGCAGAAAAAACAGAGCCAAATACAAAAAATAAAAGGGGGTGGTGGCAGATTGCGAAAATTCAACTCCAACACGAAAAGGGCAAGCGCGAGAAAGGAAACGCAAAAAAGCGAAAATAACATGGAATTGTTAAGGAACTGCAAACTGCAAATCCATTAAACCACAACAAGAACAAGATGAAGGAAGGATGAGGACGACGAAGGCGACGACGACAAGGATGAGGATGAGCAGCATCCAGCAGAACCGAGTGGAGCTCTGAACTGCTGTAGGTATTGAATCGAAATGGGGAATGTTTCGACACAATTGACTGAAAATAGTTTGTTAAATGTACAGCGCGTTGAGCGTAGAGCACCAAGAAAGCCACTTGTAAATGTATTTTTTTGGGATTAGCCGATTCGACTTAAATAAAATTACCATAAACATTTTCCAAAAGTCCTAATCAAGTCGTTTTCGAATGTTAAAATAATACCTTATTATCATACTGCTACCATTAAGTCTATCGCATCGATTCGTTTCTCTCAATCATTTGAGTTTATTTTTTTTAGTTTTTTTCTACTTCTTTAAATTGATGAAGTGTTTTGGAAAATTATTTGCGAATATTTAATGGCTTAGATGTAAACCTTATTTGTTTGATAAGGTCACGTTAATTAAGACATTAACAAAAGACAATTACCCTTCACCATTTTCTAAACTATTCAAGCGATCAAATTACTTTGATATGGTTTTTAAAATGCTATATACCTTAACAAATTCTCTTTATAAATCTATTTATTCCGATCTGTAAACCTACAGTTTCTAATAGCTGCTTTAAATATGAAGTTGGAAGTAATTGTTGTTCTGGGTAAGTTAAAGCTTTAGATTTGTCAAATATCTGTTTAACATATATCCCACACACCGATCAGTTTGTATGTTAGCCGATTTTGGATGGGGTAAGAATTGCTATAAGCCCTGTGGAAAATGTATCTTGCCCACCTGCAACTTCGATGGTAAATGTTATTACGAAGGAGAAAGCGCGTGTGGCCTGGAAAACGAGAAGTGCCGCCGAGCGATGAAAAAACTTCCCCGTAAGCTTGTTTCATTAGAAGTAATCAACAGAATTGAAAGAAATATTTTTAAATATTTTTTAGCATTCAAAACGACCGAATCGGGATATTGCCAAGATGATGCCATTAAGTGTACATATTAAATCAAACTATTCACTATTTTAAGTCTGTGAAATATAACTTAGTGCAAAAACAAATAATTCTTTAAAAGAAATAAAGAAAATAATATTAAGGCGCTATTATTATAATTAAGAATGTTAAAAATATCAAATGTATTCTTAGCCAAAAAAAGTGCTCTATTGCCACTACCTAAAGCCCAATTGCTCCCCAGTTTGACCAATGCAAACCACAAGAAGACAAAGATGAGGTAGACTAGGAACTCCCTGCCAAACCCGAAGAAGAAAAAGCTCAACCGAGGCGAACCAAGCCACCCAACTATGAAAAATTTAAACTTTGCATCCAAGCCATTTATTCATCCTGCCTGGCATCTGCCATCATATCTTAGCATGCGGTTCAGCCTTCGTCCCGGCTACCCTCCTTCCTCCTTCTGCATCTTAAAGCTATATCTTAACCATCTCGGTGCTCCTTTGGTTTTACTCTGTGGGTCAGCGGGCAGTGGGGTGCACCTTAAAAATTAATTGAAACATCACTACCGGCTAATATTGTATATTAAAAACAGCAAAAAGGAGAGCTCTGTGAGATGGGGAATGAGGTCCAAAATGGGCATATAAAACTTTTGGGGTTAGTTGAGTGCTCTAAACTGCCAGGAACTTGCAAATTGCCTGAGTGCGTGTCCATTTATCAGTCTTAGTTTTTGGGTTAGTAGCAAAGAATGTTCAACAATAAATTCGAGCAACAAATTTGGTTGCCACTGGAGTTTATTAGCTGGCAGCCGGTATTTTGCGGTCAAAGGGCAACCTGAACTTGAATAAGGCCATCCCAGAGAGCCCTCCTACTCCCATACCCATTCTACATCCATCTTCGTCTTTGACTCCATCAAATCACTGTCCACTCTAGAATTTCTTTGAATACTTCGCCTGTTGGAAGGGCATTGCCAGATGGCAAATTAATTCCGGCTCAGGCACCACGCATGCTCAGATTCTCTGGTAGTCGGAGCAGCTCGGGTCTTTTAGCGCTCTCAAGCGATTTGTACCACGACATAGAATCGTTCCATTTGGTTTTGGTGACTTCGGGTTTTGGGTCTGTTGCGCCTAGGACAACAATTTCCGTATTGCATGTTGCTCGCGGGCTCCATGCGCCTTCGTGTGATCTAAAACGAAGTGAGTGTCGAGGTCGCCAACGTGCCATAAAATGCGCATAATGTGGCACGGATGTGCCAGTGCACGTTGGTTATTTGGCGCGTAAGCATCGGAGAGTATCGCCTTGGCAGTGTGGCAATATCGAGTTGTGATGTTGCTGGTGTTGCGGAAACATCTCGTACCCAACCGGCGAGACAAAATCGCGAAATGGTGACCACAAATAGATAGGCTTTAAGAGCCCAAGGAATATATCGTATATAGATAACAAAGAGATCGATTCGGTTGTGCTTATGGAATAAAAGTAATCCAGCGGTGATTGCAAAGTGAAGTGATCAGTAATCAAAACTCAAGTGGCAAGAAAGGCGAAAGGCGAGCAAACGCTGTAGGCGGAGAAGCAAAAGTAACTTAGGCACATGCAACAACTGGATACGGATACGCTTTTCAAGCCCTGAACAGCCGCCGACCAACGAGCACCCACCCACAAGTCAAGTACGTAACAGATTGATGAGGCAGTTGCCGTTTCCATCTTCGTCTCCATCTCGAAGCACCACCCACTCAGTTCACCCAACAAGCAGCCACTTGACTAAAAGTTCAATTTCCTGCAAGATGCTTTAATTGAAGCGCACAGTAAACAAGAAACAGAAAGCAGAAAACAGAGAACCGAGCGAGCAAGGGTCACTCGTCGCCTCGGGTGCCTCCGGTTCGCTCTGGTCAGTCATTAGTCATTTGCTCATTTCCGCAAACGCAGCCCGGATGTGCAGCACTTGTCAGCCAATAAACAACCTCGGTGGGGGGCTGGGTGGGCCAGTGGGTGGTGGCCTAATACCCCCCTCACTCGTACTTATTTGTGGCAAACATATCAGCTTCAATCATCGATTCACCGATGGTGAGGTTAGTGCATCCTGCTGTTTTCACTGGCTGAGGCATCCAGTTCATGTCACTTCTATATTTGCATTGCCCCTCAAGAAGTTTGGTGAAAATTCGATTTTGCTCTTGGCAAAATGGATATTGTTTTTGTTTTTATTATACAGTCAGGAGTTCAGTTCAGCCCAGTTGCAGGAAGAATAGTTGGTATCTTAAAAGCTTTTAATAATTCAACAGCAATTCGACAAATAATCTCCATTTCCCCTGAAACTGTGTCAATTTATATCTACGTTCTGTGCCTGTTCAAATAATAATCGTTTGCAGAGCTCTAACTTGCATTTGTGGGCTATTTATTCGGAAAATACAAAATATTTTCAATGCTTACGAGCAATCAGTTATCAAGCGTTTTCAAATATTTTCATTTTGATTCAACTTTGAATTTAAACTTAGCAATTGGTAAAATCATGATAAAAAAAATGTATCATAAATGATTATTCCAAATTATTCTAAATATGATTAAAATTTATATAAATATTAAAAATATTGGTTACAAAAACCATATAAATTTTTTAAAAGGTGCAAACTTTTTCCATAAACTAAACTTTCAAATCTGACTCTTTGGGTTTTAAGATGATGGAGAGAAAAACTAGAACGAACCAGAGAAATCTGGGGAACGAGTGCTGCAGCAGCAGCAGCAGGAGTGGGTGAGTGGGTGGGTGGCATGAGGAGTACCGACTGCATATGTGTCAGCCATTGAGTTTCTTGGACAACAATAACCAAGACGGACAGGAGCAGGGCGCATCGCTCAGAAAGAGCAAAAACAGTGCATAGGTGCTAAAAAAAAAACAACGAGGAACAACAATGACACGGGGGCTGGGCAGGATGGGCAGAATGGGATGAGGAGTACCCAAGCTAACCCAGTTTTTTTTCGACGCTCGTTCTTCACGGCTTAGTTTTGTTTTGGGCCTTCTCTTTTTTTTTGGGCCTACTGCTTGGTATATTTCTTTTTATGGCTTTTACGGACTGCCCGCAAAACGACGACGACGACGACGACTACGAGCCATACTGACAGCAGAAGAAAAGAAAATATTTCGACAAAAACTGCCAGACTTGGCCCAAAAAACCCACCCACTGTTGGCCACCCAGAGCCATCCCCCCTTCTGATGAAACCTGTTTTGTAATTGTTGTGTTTTTATTCGGTGTATGCGTGTTGTTGCGGATTTCTTTGGCTTTCCGAGCGTTTCTAGGCTCTGGCTTCTTGCCCGGGCCATTGTCACGTAAATCTGTGACAGAAATTAGCCTCGTTGACAAAAATATGCCTGCTTACACATTATTTGTACAAACAAATAGAGACGGGCAACAGTTAATGGCGTGGAGAGTGTTGTCCTCGAGGTGCCTCCGGGTTCCATGGGTTCCTTGGTGGTTTCTCTTGGTCTTGTAAGAGGGGAGATAGGTCTGGAGAAATTTGCATGGGAACTGCGCCAGTTGACGCTGTTGTTTCTTAGGCTCTTTTAGGCTGGGATTCCTTTGGTAGTTTTGCGGCTGTCGTCCCGGCTTTTCTTCTTCGTCCTAGCCGTCCTGTTTTTATTGATCTGTTTATGCTTTAGGACCTCTGTCCCTTATTACATCCCTCACCAACCCCTGTCCAACCCTCATCATGGATAGACAAACAGAAAAAAGTTTTATTTGTGGACTAATAAAAATGCAAAAAAAAGAACAAGTGGTGCGGGGACCGCAAATGTGTTTTTTTGGGCCAAAGTTGTTCCTAGGTTAATGACCAGACAGGCGTGAAAGCAATCATAAAACAGGGCCCACCTCTACATCTGACCACCCACCCTCACTTCGCACTCTAAGTTAATTTAGCTTGACCAGGGTCAGGCCGTGATGGAAAGTTTGCTCTGGCTTTTAATCAACTCATTATGAAGCCACGGTCCATAGAAAAACAATATACATATCATGCTGTCGATTAAATTATTTGGCAGCCTTACGGCCTTTCAGCCTGATTGACTGATGAACTTTCGGGCTGATTTTTCGCAATAAAATGTAATGAGCTTAATAAATCAATTTTTCTTTGCAAATTACCGCTTAAAGCTATGAAAATGGTGTTATTTTATTTAATTTTTAATGACATTTTGATTTTGGTTAATTATGCATCTAGACTTTATACAAAATGCCACACCACGACGTGATTTAATTTCCAATAATTTTCTATGTAAATTGGAACGTCATAACCAATAAGTTCAAGTTGAAAGTCAATTCACTGACAATTTCCTGACGTCTACAATTTCCAATCCCACCCAGACCCCTAATTACTAGGACCTAACCTTAGTCACACAAAATACGGAGTCAATCTATCATGCTATGGGTGTTCTCCTGATTAACACGAAACTTTGGCCAGGCCGTGCAACAAAATGATTGATGTCCACTACAAAATTTTCAATGTATCGCCTGCCCAGTGCCACACCCTCTAATTTTTCGTGCTGGAATATTTCGGGTACAAAACCGCCACCTTTTCCTACGAACTCTGAACCTTGGCTACATAAACTGTTTATCGAACCATTTGGTTTTATGTCAGAGCAGCTGATTGATTTTTAATTAAACGTCCACGATTTCACTGATTGACGCTAATCATACGCTTGATGGGCTTAAGCCCGGCCACGCCCCCACTTAAAGGACGGTTAAAATAAAAATGAGCATTTCCACTTTAATTCGAGTACAATGAACGAGTATATGAGCGCACATACGACGGAAATTAGATATTTATTGAGCGAGGCGTTGTCAGCCAAACCAATTTAAAAGGTGTTGCCACAAAGCGTTGGGCATTGAAAAGGGGAGCGTGTGGAAATCGAATATTATCCAGATAGTGCCGAAGATCCATTTACGTGACTCGGAAATGCAAATAAAAAAGATGTGGAAAAAACCGCTTCCAGCTTTTTTTCCCCTGTTCTTTTTTATATATTTTTTTTTATTGAATTGCAAAGGATGGCAAAAGGGAGGAGAAAGGGAAGTGCGGGGCTTAGACCGACATAAATAAACCTCAACTAAGTCGTGTGTTTTGACATAGATTTAAATTGACATGGTTGTGTAAACAGACCGGGGTGGAGGATACCAATGGCAGACACAAAAGCAGAAACAGACGGAGAGGCTCACACACATTCCTCATTGAAAGCCGCACACACAAATTCTCGGCGTTCAAGGCATTCTTCCCTGGAAGGCCCAACAGCCGAAACCAAACCCCTTTTTCCCCCTCTTCCATTCATTCATTTCCATGTTCAATATGAGCCAGGCAAGCCGGGCGAGAAAAAATAAAATAAAAATGCAAAATAGTTCGTTATTTAACATATTTGACGGCTGCCCGGCTGCTTGGGCTGTCGTCTCGTAAATGTAAATTGGCCGGCAGATATGGAGCTGATGACAAACAGGCCCAAAGCCAGGAGCCAGAGTCATAGCCAGAATCTCTAAACCAAAATCCAGGACGCACATGGAAAATCCCCATCAGCCCATCTCGCCATCGCCAACGAACCCTTTGACAATTTTTGTAGCTTCGTTTTTCTCCGGGCTCCGCAAAAATATTTGCCACGCAAATAGCTGGAAAAGTATTGCCCGATTATGTTTCTCTAACTGGGCACAGACGCAGCAGTCAGCAAATTGAAAGGCAAACACACAGGCTAACACACACACACACACATAGCCAGTCGGGAAAAAGATGAACAGGCCAAAACGATTTGAGAAGGATCCGAAAAAAAAGGAAAAAAATTGAATATGGAGGGGAAAACTAGTGGATAGTAGGAAGGAGTTCGGAGAAAAGAACGCAGTCTCGTTGCTTTCTATGAATGTCAATTGGTTGTTGGCCGGATGGTTCTTGGCAAGCGGAATGGAATGGCATGGAGTGGGAGCAGAAGTAGGAGTAGGAAAGGGGCCAATTTAAAAGGGCTTACTTTTTAATGAAGCGAGCTAAGGACGATACACGAAACCCCTAAGGGGATCCATACGGGGAGGGGGACTCAAATCGACACAATCGCTATAGCGACTATGATAAATGGATGAGCATATGTCGGATGGAGTAACTGGGTGTCTGGGTGTCTGGTTGTCCATTGAGAAACTACCAGCTTATTGACAGAGAACGGCAACGAGAATTAAAATGCTAGATGAGATGCAATTAGATAGAGCGTGAGTGGAGGATGATAGTACACTATTGTTAGTCATGGGATAGAGTTGTGTGTGCCATAGGGTAATTGATACTAATGGCAGCTTATTAGACGTGAATGAGTTAAACATGAAAAAAACGTGTTATCATGCAAGTTATCTATTTTTGAAGACGGGTGTATGAATATTAAAGTTTCGACCGTATTCAGATATTCAAAGTTCTATTGTTATTCCAACTAAATAGAGATCACAGTAATAATCTAGTAAAACGAAAAGTGAAAAGAACAAATCAAAATACCATATAAAACCTTTAGATGAAAGAGCTTTTTAATTCATTATCGTTTGTTTTGATGCTATCAATTCTCTCGGCATTCGTTTGGCGCTCTTTTATTGGTTTTGCCGCAGTTGCCAGTAACCAGTTGCCAGTTGCCAGTAGCCACAATCTGACATATTGGAATGTCAAACTAATGAGGTTTCCA